CTACGATTATGCGTAAGACCACGTAAAAGTCTTGTAATAACTAGTTAATACTAATGTGAATGCAAAAACACGTTTAATTACTTCTTATTTTTGCCCTCTATGTTTGAATACTCTTATTTTAAGACTTTTCATGAAATGGATAATCTCTTAATTTCTATTTGAAATCATCCACATTCGCTCATAATTCTCATACTACTGTAACTTTATAGCAAAAAAAGATATAAAATTAGGGAGTGATCCTTAAATAATTATATTTAATTTAAAATAACGGTGTTTTAAAGTTATAGTAATTACAGATGATGACACACACAAGTCCAATGTTTGACAAAAAATAGCGTATGCATGTATTAATATTAGGCCAAAGAAGTGGCATAATTAAAATCGAAACAGTCGGAACCTGGAAAAGAGAAAAAGTAAATACCAAGAAATAAGAAAAAAAATATTTGAAAATAGCCTGTCAACAAGACAAATTGGAAAAGAGTTTTAGCTTTATGATACTCCTATTATGCATGTATGCACTGTCTTGAAGCTTCCATTGTTTTTATACAGTTGCAAATAGAGAAAGAAAAATGTGTAATAATAAATTTAAAAATTCCGTCTTCTTATAGGTTGCTCATCCGGAAATAGGAATGTCCATCATCACGTTTACCAATATTAGGCATCCATTTCTGTCTGGACCTTTGCCCCCAATTCGAGGTAAAGGTTTTTTTATTGTATTGTTCCTTTCAATGCAATGCAAAGGCTTTTCATGATTTTTTTTTTACTTTTCATTCAATTGCTTTTTTCTCTTCGGTATAGTATCTTCCCCATGCTACTTAACTTTTCTATGCAAAGCTTTTTCAATGAATATTTTTTTTTACTTTTCACAATAGCTTTTTTCTATACTACAAATATTTTTTCTCTTCGATACTAGTACCTTTCCTCATGTTGTTTCGCATTTTTACGCAAAGCTAGAAATTTCACCGAAAGAGTTTAACAAGGACTGTAGGAGTATCAGAGCGAAAGGATAGTAACACTTGCTTGTAATAGTGAAAATAGAGCGCTTGTGGTATCATCTCTTTCGAGTTTCGAATATGTCTTGATTTGCTCGACTTTTGTTAGAGAACTTTTGATTTGCCATCCAATCTCGCTTTCTCCAAAGTGTCAGATACCATTTCTGTCACGATCCAATTTCTCCTATAGGTCGTGATGGCGCCCAACGTTATCACTAGGCAAGCCAACAATGAACGAACTCCGTGATCATTTCTTTTAAAATTTTAAAATAGTTGATTTTTAGTTTGTGCATAAATGGGAAGTAAGAATTTAATAACAAAATGAGAGATAAATTTTTTTGAAAATAAGTGAGATAAGCAAAATAACCCAAAACCATCAAGTGTCTACTAGGATAAATCTCCAAGACCTGGTGTCACAAGTGTATGAGCTATTAGTAGAATATACAAAGAATACTACACTACTGTCTGAAATAAAATAGACAAAAAATAAAGCAAAAGAAAGACTTCGGCAACTGCAGAACGGGCTCGGAAGGCAGCTCGCCGCAGAGTCTCGTGGAAATTAAGGATGCGCGCCTGACTGATATCCATATGCACCTACCTCACATCCTGCACATTCAGTGCAGAAGTGTAGCGTGAGTACATAAACAACATGTACCCAGTAAGTATCCAGTCTAACCTCGAAAAAGCAGTGACGAGGGGTCGACTCCGACACTTACTATGGGCTAACAATAAAATAATAGAATTATAACTAAGCATGGGGTATATAAATACACCTAAAGATGCAATAACAGAATACACGAACAATTTTTTCACTAATAGTAAGTCCCAATTAATTTTCATCATTTAACAAATTAATCTCTAAAGCCAATGAAACAATATCAATTATAGTTGGGGTTCAAGAATTATTACGCACAACTATGCCGAGGTCGTAGGGCCCGATCCTACATACGAATATATAAACAGTACACTGCCGAGGGTCGAACAATACGAACCATAGATGCATCTATTCTATTACCGAGGTGTTCGGTCCGCTCCACAACAAGAGAAAATAATTTATAAATACCAGTTCAAGGACTATTAAGAGGCTAATATTCAAGTAAACATCAATTCTCATTAACGGTCAAGTAACTCGTCCACAACTCAAGTAAATAAAATTCGACCTTTCACAATTCCCTTTAACAAGTTCCGATATGATTTAAGTATTTAAATTTGCAAGTAGAGTGCAATTATCGCAAGTATCACATGATTTGGGTCCTAAACTACCCGGACATAAGCATAATTAATAGCTATGTACGGACTCTCGTCACCTCGTGCGCACGTAGCCCTCCCCCCCCCCCCCAAATAGGAGCACATATTAAATCAATTCACCTATGGGGTTAATTCCCTCTTACAAGGTTAGAAAAGAGACTTATCTCGTCTCAAAGTTTACTTCCCGGTCCACAATTGTGCTTTAAACCCTCAATTCGGTGCCAAATGACTCGAAACTAGTCAAATGTTATATAAAGTAGTCAATATATGTTCAAAAGTTCATATCATAATTATTAAAGTGATTAACCAACCCCAATTGAAGAATTCCTAAAATTTACCCCGGGTGCCCGGTTTCCGGAAATTTTCGAAGAAAATTGCTACCCATAACCTCATGAACTCAAATATATGATTTTCACTAAATTCCCTGTCCTTTTTCGCGGTTAAATCCCATTTTTACCAAAACCCTAGGTTTTTCATCTAAACCTATGGTTTCTATCAATTTACATATTATAATCTACCCATAAACTATGTATTTAACTCACATTGGATAGAAATTACTTACCTCAATTAGCTAGCGAAAACCCCTCTCTAACCAGCTCCAAAATCGCCTCAAGAAGTGTAAGAAATCAGCCAAAAATGCCTAAGTCCCGTATTAAATGAGGGTCTGCCTCCAGCGATTTCCGCTTCTGCAGACCTGGGGCCGCTTCTGCAGCGCCGCACCTGCGAAAAAACCATCGCAGGTGCAATCCTAGCCCTAGCTGGCTGGCTCCGCTTCTGCGGACGGGATCCCGCTTCTGCGGAGGGTGGGGCACATCTGCGGTTCCTGGGCTGCCCTTCCTGGGCCGCTTCTGCGGGTCCTTGCTCGCTTCTGCGAGCTCGCACCTGCAGCTGGACCTCCGCAGGTGCGATTGCACCAGAAGCTGAAAGCTTCAACTGATGCTCCCAAGTCTAAACTTGGTCTGAGCCTCGTCCGATTAACACCCGAGGCTCCCGGGACCCCGCCCGAACATGCCAACAAGTTTGAATCATAAAACGGATTCACTTTAACTCTCGGAACGCACAAAACAACATCAAAACTAAGAATCACACCCCAAACCAATTGAATCAAAAATATGAACTTCAAGTTCTTCTAACTCACTCCCAATGCGCCAAAATGTACTTAAACTAATTGGAATGATACCAAACTTTGCGTGCAAGTCATAAATCACCATACGGAACTATTCCCAGACTCGGAATCCTAATTGGACCTCGATAACACAGTATTTTCTTATATGAGACATGTCTCTTTCCAGACTTTTTCCACCTTTTCTTGAGCCGAGTGTCTATCGGAAACGGCCTCTCTACCTCTCTAGGTAGGGATAAGGTCTGCATACATACTACCCCCCAGATCGCACCTATACTGGGTTCGTTGTTGTTGTCGTCGTCGTCTCTTTCCGGACTTTTCTGTTTTTTCTTTGTCTTCCTCATTGTTTTATTCATCCTCCATTAATTTCATTTTCATCCTCTTCCAATCAATACTTACTATCTTGAAAGTGAACTACTTCGAGATATGGGCCGATTTGAATGTGTCATATGAGTTTTTTCTTGATTTTTTTGGGGTTAACTTAAGATGCCTTTTAAGACCACTTAGATGAGTTGATTTGATGTTCTTTTGAAATATTTACTTGTTGATTTGATGTTCTTATGAAATATTAGAAAATAAAAGAAACAGAAAAACTTAAATTTAAGAGTAAAAAAGAGATATATAAATACCATTTTATCGAGAGACAGATGCGGAAAGAAAAAGTCCGTTTTGCCAACATAAGTTCAGAGGGAAAATATTTAATTTTTTCCTTCTATCAAATATATATATAATGGTTCCATAGAGAAAATCTCATTCATATAGCCGAGCAGTAAATCCTGCGGTGAAGCTTCGAATGTGTAAAGCTGAATCCTCCTTTAGCAAGGTAAATATCTATTTATTTTTAAACCAATCTCTTAGACCTCGGCCCTTAGCTTCTTCTCAATATTACTAGTGAGTTTGATACTTCTTCTCATCTTCCTAATATATTTTGTATGTTTTAGGTGCTCCTGATCTTCCTAAGGTCCTCCATTCATATGTTTCTGATTTGGTTGCTCTCGAAAATGACCAGACCAAGCTACATCTGGCTACTAGGGATTCGCAGAAATGCACAGATGAGATTTTAACTTATTCAGAAGCCAAACAGGTGTCACATTCATGTTCTCTAGAGGAGGGATATATTTCCAGAACCCACCAATTGGAAACACCGCAGCTAGTGGCTCCTCACCCTTATTTCACCTATGCTTGTTTTTCTTTTATAACTCACAAAACCTCGAGAGACAGTGCACTAGCTAGTAGTGCACGGTTTGAAACACGACGGATAATCGACCCGTCCCTCTATCCGTTTCCATTTAAATTACTAGGCTTTTGTCTTTTTCACCAATTTTATTATCCATTACCAACAACCATCACCACCACCTAGGCCACCCCCAACCTCAATATCAAAAGGGGGACGCTCTGAACAATCCGTATTCGTTCTTCACACGAAGTCATCAATAACACAGCCACTAGCTAGAGTCCATCGTTAAAACTCAAAAACAAATGATTTCAAATAGAAATATTACTAAACAGTAACTCCCACATTGCCCATTAAAAGTATTCCATAGGCCTCCACAACACTCTATATCCACCACCCTCCACCCCCAAACACAAAAAAGAATAACTAAAACTGAAAACTTTGCAAAAGACAATAATACATATACACATTAATACATGCATTACAATTTCTTGAGTTAAAATGGGGACCACAAGCAATGCATATAATTACAAACATAAAGTAGACCACACTGCTCTAAACAAACCCCACTAAAACCCTACATTCACACTGCTGTAGATGTATACCATCCAAATACAAACTAAATCATGCACAAGTTCTCTCATTCGGTGCTCATTTGATAACCAAGTCTTTCTCGGTACACCAGAGACCATACCGGACCAACGATGGAAGAAAAATTCTCATGCATGCTTTTCCACGAGACCACATACTAAAGCGTTCATCAAGTTTCACTCCAATACCTAGCTATTCTCCATCACTACTTGATCAAGAAGTTCCATTCCGACAGCTGACCGTTACATCAGCAACTACTGTACTAGCAACAATTACACAACTAAAGATCCATATTGAAAACATCTGAGATATTGTATAGCAAAATACCACACACCAGCATGAAAAATTGAAGTTGACCGTTAGCAACAAGTCAAGTGACTAAAGTTAGCAATTATGAGCCTATAAAAGCATATCAATTTCTTTCTATCAATAATGCACAAGATCTATTGTGAACCTAAACTTGCAGTAAACACAATCTAGAGGCATGACCCTCTGCGTACTCGATGAAACCAAGTTTACAACAAAATCACACCTCCATACCAAAATCTAGAAACTCTCACTGACAGAAGCCCAAAAACTCTCAGTTACTTCCAGCAAATTTGCTCATCATTTTCGCAATAATTGGAGCAACTTTGGGATTTGCCTGATGCTTGGCCAAATTAGCAGGGTTCTTCATCACTGCAAAATAACAACCACATCAGTAAGAGGAAACAACGATCTTGAAACACCCGGTATGTATGACATTGAAGTCTAGATGGATGCAATTGTCCACAGATATAGCAGACTGCTACAGCCAATTGATCAGCAACAAGATTCACAGACTCCGCTACTTGCTGGGAACATTACAAAATAAAATATACTAGCTCAACCGTTAATCTCCCTCTGCTGACTTGAAAATTACAAACTGATTAAAAAGCTCCTTACCTGTCTCTCCTATTTCAAAACCTTAATAAGCACAAAAACAAGCAAAGAGGTGGGGAAAATACGTTTAAGACACTGTCAGATATGCAATAAAACTCTCCGCAGAGAAATTCAATTTACTCCTTATCCATATTCTTTTTCTTGTGAGATGATTTAGAAACTAGTTTCTAACTCAGGTGCTACCAAGTGGCGTAGACACATTGAGGTAATGAAGAATCAATTTACTGGAAGCCTTTAAATTTTTTAACTAAAGCAAAATGGCAATGATATACATAAACTTCCACTGATCAGACAGGTAGTCATAAGTTGATGATAGCGTCAATTTTCCCTTAACGATAATCCAAAACAGATGATATTCAACCACAGAAACTTACAAGTATATAACGCATATGTTCTCAGATGACCTGAGACCAGTGTTATCAAAGACGAAAAGCGCAAAAAAGCTCTAATGGCCATTGGAGCTTTAAGCGCAAAGCGCAAATAAATCGTAGGCTTTAATGAAAAAAGGCGCAACGGGAGAAAAAGTAAAAATATGCATGTAATCCAAGACTAATCATTATAAGCATGAATAACAAGTTATGGAAAAAGAAATTGAAAAAAAATTCACGATAAAGTGAAATATCAATTATTTAAGGTCGCCTTTTCAGGATTACACTCATTGGCAAGAATAAGTATGCCTTAGAGCTTTGATGCTACACTAAAGTGCCCACAAAGCGAGGCAAAGCGCTCAACATGTTTGGAGCCTCGCTTTAGGGCTTAAACGCGCCTTTGACAACACTGCCTGAGACTTAGTGGTAAGTGGAAACTAGTACCAAGCAACACAAAGAATCAGCATGATAAGCCAACGATACAACCATGAACTTATGTCTGCTACATGACAAACCCATTCACCCACAGTAAATACCTGGAAGTTTGACTGCTTTGATTCGATAATTTAGGATTTAGCAATTAGAAAGCCAAAAAGAGCAGTGAGAATAGGACCTAAACTACAATCTGATACACACAACCCGATCCCCATATACAGCTCCTTGATACTAACTGGAACTCTAACTGGGACCTAAACTACAATCTGAGACACACAACCCGACCCCCATATACAACTCCTTGATACTAACTGGAACTCTAACTGTCTCTACATTTTTGTTCCTGATCGGTGAGCAAAACTTCCAGTCTCTAGCAATAAAGATGAAAAAGCGATTCTGAAGTGGAAAACGTGGATTAGGTATATCATACCATGTCATATAGTTTATACAAATGAGAAGTAACTTCACAAAAACTTCACAAACTGCTATAAAATTCTCTTTTTGAAAGGTCGACTTGTTATTTCATAAAATCCAAGACAAAGGCATTTGGCTGGCAGGGTTAAGCAGTATCGGTAGTACATAATTGTTAAAAGGGCAGCCCGGTGCAATAAGCTCCCGCATAGCGGGGTCCGGGGAAGGGCCGGACCACAAAGGTCTATTGAACGCAGCCTTACCCTGCATTTCTGCAAGAGGCTGTTTCCACGGCTCGAACCTGTAACCTCCTGGTGACATTGCAGCAACTTTACTAGTTACGCCGGTTACATAATTGTTAGTCAACCTAAAATGAAACCAATAGGTCAGAAATCTGCTTGAGCGGTACGGTAAGTCATAAAGATATGATAAATTTCATAATGATCTTCACTGCAATTGTTGGATGACTTGTCTAGAAGAACTGAAATGACTTAGTTATCTAATTAAAACCCTGTAAAAGATAAATGGAATAGCCAGGCTAAAGGGTTAGAGCCGAAAGGGAGGTACCATCTTGTAGGGCAGCCATGACATCTGGATCCTTGAATGCCGCCATTAACTCAGGGTCCTGCTCCAACCAAAAAACATAAAGAATATTTTAAGATCCCTGTTATGGACAAACTGTGACTTGAAAGCTACATATACTATAAAGCAATAAAAGATTTCTTTCTATTGAAATTAATCTTCACCTAAGTTAATAACTTTCTTTAGACATTAACGTGAAAACCATAATTTGCTTCCGAAGTAAACATACAAAAGTAGATCTACTTACATTCAGTATTTTGCTGTAGTCCATGTTACCAGGCATTCCTCCAGGCATGGCCCCAGGAAAGCCTCCCGGCATGGCCCCAGAAGAGCCTCCCGGCATGCCCCCAGGAGAGCCCCCGGGCATGGCCCCAGGAAAGCCACCGGGCATGCCCCCAGGAAACCCTCCTGGCATTCCACCAGGGAAGCCACCAGGCATGCCACCAGCTCTCCTACTTGATGAGGATTCTTCTTGCTTCTTGGCCTTCTCATAAGCAGCCTGAGATTAAACATATAAAAGAATATTAACATGCAGAAACACTGAGCAGCCAAACATAAAACCAATCAAGGTGTACCTGAGCTTCAGCCTTTCTTCGTTGTCTCTCACGCTCATTCTTTCTATCTTCTCGTTCTTTGCGCAGCCTATCATACTTCCTGCGGTGTTCTTCAATTCTATGTGCATTTGGCTCAACCTGTGACAGAGACACCACATATTCATTTGACAACAATGACTGTAGCAACTTAAGTGAAATGCAATACGACACCAAATTACAAAAACAAATAAACTAAGGAGAGGAAAAAAAAATGTGGCAATGCCACTTGACCATATAGATATTATGAGATTATATTACGGTAACCAACCTTCTTAAGCACAGCACTTATTTCCTCATCATAGTCCAGCTTTGAAGCCAAGTGAAGATCCTTAGCAGCCTCCTCCCATTTTCCCAGCATGGCACGTGCAATGCCACGTGATTTGTAACCTTTAGCAGAATCTGGGTTTATCTGCAAGAACAGTCAAGTTTATGATACATTGAACAACAAATTACAGCTCAGTGCCTCTACTTTAATCAGCATCTACAGAAATCCCAACCTGGTCCAATATATCTTTTTAACTGAAATGCGAATACTTCCGGACAGAACTAATTACATGCAAGACCCACAAAAAAAAAAAAAAAAAAAAAAAAAAGAAAAAAAGGGAGGGAGTGGGGGGGATAATTGCCCTCAATCAAAAAGCGGTCTTTCCCAAGTCATGTCATCTACTTTTCCAGTTGCTGCCCATATTTATATATGGTTCTTAAAGAAGCATTTTAAGTAGGGATGAAACAAAAATAGATGATTTTTATAATTACTATATTATGACATCTAAAACAAGGAAATGGGAATGAACACTTTGGGAAGACTATAATTTACTGTATCAGATATCAAAGATATGCATTAACTAGGAAGCATGCAAATTTTGTGTGTGTTTGCCTCCATGTCTGCCTCAAGAATGGAAGAGAATTCTAAGGGGATACACGCCCAATGAATTCTTCAGGGTACTTTCCGTATAAAAACCTCAAGAATTATCAGCCAGTCAATGCAACTACTTTTTGATAAAGCTCACTCGCTGCAATCATTGAGCGACTGTATCTTTAGAAATTGACGTATAAAGGACAGAACCAAATTCAGGCAACCAAATCTGAAATCAAGACCTCTAATGCTGCATTTGCATCTCGTATGGCAGCATTTGGCTTCTTCATCTTGATATACACACTAGCTGTGTTAGAAAAAGAAAAAAAAACTATGAGTGACTGAATAAAAATGACTATTCAATTAGAAGACAACAAAAAACCAAGTAAAGTGTACCTCTAGCAGCATACATAATTGCTGATGTAGGATTGAGGAGAACTGCCTTTGTAAGATGCTCAATTGCATCTTCTAGCTTACCTGATGAGCACAAAGACCAAAAGTAAGCGACATGATACCCACTGATTTTATGAACACACAGAACGCGTGCACACATATAGACATTGAACAGCATCACCTTCAGAAATTGCTTCCATGGCCTGGGCTTTGGACTCTTGAGAAGCATCGCGGGCTTCTTCGGTCACCTCAACAGAAGGGTCTCCCATCTAGAAAATTAACTTTAATAAGTCAAAAATAAACAAGAACCATTAAACCCAAAGTGGACAGAAAATGTTAATCCATCAGACATCAGACCTTTTGTGGCTCATCATTGTCAGGTTCCACAGTGTCACTCTCATCAAGCTCAATATCAGATTCAATTATCTCAGGCTCCTCGTCTTCTTCAACTGCCCCTTTAGCATGAGCATCGTTCTCATCATCACCCACCTCGTCATCACTCTCATCCACCACATGAGACTTCTGCATAGCAAATGATAGTTCAATAGGACAATATAAAATCCAAAGAGAGTGTTTAAGTTTCCAATTACCTGATATTTAATGAGAAACCATGATCATACTAATACAATAATAAAGGAGAAGCCTTATAAAGTGGAAACTTGCAGGTATATAGAGAAACCACAATTAAATCAGTTAATCAATCAACTACACCACAATCCCAACTGGTTGTGTACAGGATCTTCATATATTCCACTCTATTCGAGCCCATTTCACTAAAATAAAAACCATTAACTCGTCTTTCAAGGCATATCAGAAGTTCTCTAAACCACACACTTATCCTCGCCTGGACTTAACCAAGTGTAACAACATCTCAGCTTTACTCACGCTAATCGGTATCATTTATAGGGATCCTTTGCTTCCATTATAGTATTCTTAATTACTAGAGATTGTACTTTCATGTGACTTTAGGTCTAGATTGTTCGGAAATTAATTGTGGTAGGTCTCTTTGCTCGGTCATTTAGCATCCACACAGAGATTACTAAGAGCCAGAGATCTTAGGTAAACTTGGAAGTTTACTCTTTGCATATTTGAGAATGTACAAGTTAGAATATTAAATTTATACAAAATTGTTATAGTCTCTCTCAATTACTTCAACAGAAAAATAGCCTACGACAACATTATCTCAGTTTCAGCAATGAAAAGAATTTAAAAGACTCAAATAACGTTTAAAATATACCGCTTTGTAATCTCCAGTGTCGTAAGCAGACGGAGGAAGTTTACCACCGAGACTGCAAAAAAAAAAATCAAACAAATAAATACACATGAGCTAAGTGGTGATCCATTCATATGTTCATAATAAATTAATCTTTGAAAAGTTACTACTTTACAAATGGAATTAAGTAGTGTACCTTTCAATGTAGTCACGGAAGAAGGAAAGAGAAGGATTAGAGAGAATAGAAGGATTGGATTTGCACTGTTCGACGAATTGCTTCAGTTCATTCAACTTCGCCGGCTCCATTGCTCTTTGTTATTACCTTCGAATCGGATTCACAGACCCTAATTTTGCCAAAAAATTGTTTCCAGTATCGCTTGCAGAGTGGTACTGTGTTATGGTTACAGAGCTGACTGCTTTGTGACGCGAGGAATTGCAAGGGACTTGAGCTGACTAGGTCCTTCTGGTAGCTTCTATTATTGGATAAACCCTTGCTTTTATTTTTGGGCAAAATATAAATTAGTCGGTCAAAATTAAATATGTTTATTAATTTAAAAATATATTATTACGAAACTTAGCTCAAAGTAATAATATAAAACAAGAAGATAGACAACAATGAAGAGAGAAAAAGATGAGAAAAACTATTTCTTCCATGTATTCAAGTGTGTACAATGTGATGTCCAAACCCTCTATTTATAGGATGACATTGAGGTATACAAAGGGATATCATAAACATGGTATTTACTATTGAGATCATGGGGAAAGATCATGGGGAGGTTATGGAGGTGTGGGAGTAACAACTATAATGGTGAGAAGTAGTGGGAGTTATCTACATAATGGAGAAGAGTAGTGGGAGTAACTTCTTTAGGAGTTATAGACATCCACTACAAAATAATATTTCATAACACTCCCCCTTGGATGTCTATAGATAATGTGCCTCGTTAAAACCTTACTAAGAAAAAACCGTATGGGAAAAAATCTTAGTGAAGGAAAAAGAGTACACATATCTTGTAATACGCATTATTTGCTGCCTCATTAAAAACCTTGCCAGAAAAACCCAGTGGGATAAAATCTTAGCTAAGGGAAAAAGAGTACAACGCGTATTTGCCTCCACCTGATGAAAACATCACTTTATTCTTCGGAGACGACGAATTCCAAGCTTGTATAACAACTTCTCTAATATTGAGATCCGCAATGTCTTGTGAAGAAGTTTATCAAATTATCCCTTGAACAAATTTGTTGAAGAACTTTGGTGAATGTGCTTTATTTTGTCTCCTTCGATAGTCCTTCTTTCAATTGATATAAGCAAATAACATTATCTTCAGTATTATTGGAATCTTCTCTTCAAAGTCAAGTCACACGTCTGTTGTGTGTTGAGCCCATTGCTTTATCGGTTGCTTATCTTGTCATGACTTGAATAAGTATCAACAATTAACTGCCTTGTAATATGATAATATGGCAGTACTCTCACATGCAAATAGAACGTTTGAAGAACGAACTTCAGGAAAATGCCTGCATTTGCATAACCAACAATATCTTGGCAATATTTGTTAGAATAGACAAATCTACATCAAGTATTCCTTTTGAAATATAATACTAATTGTATTTCAATATCTCCACATTGAAATAAAACTATATCTTGCTAGCATATTGTTATACTCATGGTTCTAGCCAGATATATTAGTGTACCAATTGCACTAGACACAAAAATAAATCATGTACGCCATGATCGCTCTAATCTACATAAGGATCTGCCGGAGATTTATTTAATAAATTTCTTGGGAACCTTAATATGCTTCAGAACAATTTAAATCATTCAAGGATTTTCATTATATGCATATCAAATGTATTGTCAGACCAAAATCTGAAATGACTCCATTCCCCACAGGAGAACATGNCAGATTTTGGCCTAGACAATACATTTGATATGCATATAACGAAAATCCTTGAATGATTTAAATTGTTCTGAAGCATATTAAGGTTCCCAAGAAATTTATTAAATAAATCTTCGGCAGATCCTTATGTAGATTAGAGCGATCATTGCGTACATGATTTATTTTTGTGTCTAGTGCAATTGGTGCACTAATATATCTGGCTAGAACCATGAGTATAACAATATGCTAGCAAGATATAGTTTTATTCCAATGTGGAGATATTGGAATATAATTAGTATTATATTTCAAAAGGAATACTTGATGTAGATTTGTTTATTCTAACAAATATTGTCAAGATTTTGTTGGTTATGCAAATGCAGGCATTTTCCTGAAGTTCGTTCTTCAAACATTCTATTTGCATGTGAGAGTACTGCCATATTATCATTTTACAAGCAGTTAATTGTTGATACTTATTCAAGTCATGCCAAGATAAGCAACTCATAAAGCAAGGGGCTCAACACACAACAGACGTGTGACTTGGCTTTGAAGAGAAGATTCCAATAATACTAAAGATAATGTTGTTTGCTTATATAAATTGAAAGAAGGACTATCGAAGGAGACAAAATAAAGTACATTCACCAAAGTTCTTCAACAAATTTGTTCAAGTGATAATTTGACAAACTTCTTCACAAGACATTGCGGATCTCAATATTAGAGAAGTTGTTATACAAGCTTGGAATTCGTCGTCTCCAAAGAATAAAGTGATGCTTTCATCAGGGGGAGGCAAATACGCGCTGTACTCTTTTTCCCTTAGCTAAGATTTTATCCCACTGGATTTTTTCAAGCAAGGTTTTTAATGAGGCAGCAAATAATGCGTATTACAAGATATGTGTACTCTTTTTTCTTCACTAAGATTTTTTCCCACAGGGTTTTTTCTTACTAAGGTTTTAACGAGGCACATTATCTATAGACATTCAAGGGGGAGTGTTATGAAATATTTTTTGTAGTGGACGTCTATAACTCCTAAAGAAGTTACTCCCACCTATTCTTCTCCATTAAGTAGATAGCTCCCACTACTTCTCACCATTATAGTTGTAACTCTCACACCTCAATAACCTCCCCATGATCTTTCCCCATGATCTCAATAGTTAATACCATGTTTATGATATCCCTTTGTATACCTTAATGTCATCCTATAAATAGAGGGTTTGGACATCACATTGTACACTTGAATGCATCGTGTTAAGAAACTTAGCTCAAAGTAATAATAAGAAACAAGCAAATAGACAAGAATGTAGGGAGCAAGGGAGGAAAAATTCTTATTTCTTTCATGTATTCAAGTGTATACAAAGTGATGCCCAAACCCTCTGTTTATAGGATGATATAGGTAATACAAAGGGATGCCATGAACATGCTATTAACTATTGAGAACATGGGGGAAGATCATGGAGGTGTGGGAGTTACATCCATAATGGTAAGAAGTAGTGGAAGGTTAATGGAGAAGAGTAGTGGGTGTTATTTCCTTAGGAGTTATCGACATCCACCATGATCAAATATTTCATAACACTCCCCCTTGGATGTCCAAAGATAATGTGCCTCGTTAAAATCTTACCAAGAAAAAACTCTATGGGAAAAAATCTTAGTGAAGGAAAAAGAGTACACATATCTTGTAATATGCATTACTTGCTGCCTCGTTAAAAACCTTGCCAGAAAACCTAGTGGGATAAAATCTGTGCGAAGGGAAAAAGAGTGCAGCACGTGCTATACTCCCCTGACAAAAATATCACTTGATATCTCAAAGACGATAAATTCCAATCATGTATAACAACTTCTCAATTGCTGAGGTTGGCAATGCCTTATGAAGAAGTTTGCCAAATTATCACTTGAACAAATTTGTTGAACATTTGCTCCCTCCTTCTTCAAGGAGTTTTATCTTTGGAACCGATTTGTCTATTACGTTTCATGCGTTCCATAGACTATGTCCATCATGGAGTTTATTCTATTTGGAGCATTAACAGCTGAAATATAACATTTAGCTTTGGGTCAGCAAAGCGCCTGGCAATATTTTACAAATAAATTATCACTTGAACTTCAAGTTCATATTTTCTTGTACGAGGATCTAGGTGAACTCATAATAATTCATTCCATGTTTTACTTTTTCAGCTGCCTATTTTCTCCCCCTAATGCTGGGATCACCAACACATTTCCCAACCTTCTTTGGGAACCCATCTTTGTACATTGTGGTGTCACAATTAAATCATATAGCACATCCATATTTCAAGATGAAATTATTTGGTTCCTGACACCGAACCAATTGTGACGGAAAGAATTTATCATAACTTGGCTAGATGCGTACAAGTGCTGCTCTACACTAAATATTACATCTCATACCAAATTTCTTTTTGGTAATTCTGTTCTCATAACCAACGGTTTAGCTATAATTGGAGGCATACAATCTCTGCTAAACCAACTTGGATTTAAACCAGCATTATCAAGATAAATTTATATTCTGGACTCTGCTCTAATAATTTGAGCAATCAATCTTGCAAAATCCAAATTGCAAGTTGATAACAAACGCACATGTGACCATACAATAGATGCATCTATTAAAATCATATAATACTAAACGGTCCACATGGCAGGTGATTGAGCCCATACATATATATTACCTTTTATTCGTTCCAGATATCAAGGGATTCAATCCCAACCTTAACTGGTATATCATGAGAAAAAAACATCACAAGAGAATTCTTGAAGAATCTTCTATTTCTTTAATTTATGCCAATGTGAATTCTCAATCAATTTTCACATCATAATTGAACCGGGATGGTCAACCGGTCATGCCAACTAATATTTATTTCAATAAACCTCTAGTTTACTTATGACATGTGATTCTATCATCATGCTTATACATCTGTAGTACAAATAGAAGAAAAGTCGGGTAACCTTTTATATTTATCCGGTATGTTATAGTAATATGAAGATAATCAATCTTCCTTTCATTTATAGTCTCAATATGTCAACCACTTTGGCTAATACATTTGAAACTCAAAAAGTTTCTTTTGAGATTTACTACAATATCAATGTCGTGAACAATTTCATTCATCCGGGTAGTAACAAATTAGCTATTCCGGAGCTCTTAATTGATTTTGTACTACAAGATCTTTTGTCACACCATCCATATGGTGAATGTCTCCTTCACGGAGAAAATCATATCATAATAATTGTCATAGTCAAAATCATCATAAGCAAAATCATTTCTTGCTTTACTTTTGCCTTTAATAACTTTTTATAAGGCATGTCAAATTATTTTTGGCGTACCACATGTACGCGACCAATGACATATTCATGTAATCACACAGTAATATTCATTATCTCTCTTTCTCTCAAACCTCCCTTAGAGGTGAGTTGTGGTGTATATCCAATCATGCATTGCACGTCTTTATTTATTACTTTTATCACATATTGTTACATTCACCTTCAGGAATGAATCTGCATTCTCAATGCACAAGTCACATTCTCTTCAAAGAATGGAGTATATTATCGCGACGTGCTTTATAAATTTTTCATACCAATTTGATGGTAAATATTTCCTTCAC